TAAGAACATGACTGATGTGATTTTAATTCTATGAAAACAAGATGAGGCACATACCATCCGAAAATGGATTTTAATATGTTAACTGTTGTTTGTGAACAACATCAATCATGTTTATCAGTGATCAAAGAATGTCGGAAACAGCCACTGAGTTAATTCAATGCCCGTCTAACAGTTAAACCTGATTATGATTCCATATAATAAATAGTATGGGAATAGGACATTGGTGGTGACTGATTTAATTTCATTACTCGTATTTTTTGTGTAGTGCCTGATAATCCTTCTCGACACCTTCGTGGACAGAAATGCCTCATTCACTTCCACTGAAACAACATTTTTTTAATCTCTCTGCATTGCAGTATAAAACCATGCATTCTGTAATGTTAGCATTTCATTTGGAAGAAAAGCAGCGATATTTGACATTTTTTCTGAACTTCACCATATTCAACCATTTCCCCGTGGTAGACCAATGCATGAAATTCTTGTATTTTTGCCAGTTGTATTATGGAGTCCTGTGACCACCAGGGAGCCCCAAGAGTGATTTGTATGGATGTGTGTGTGAAACACATTCATTCATCAATGAGAACATTTATTATGGAAACTGCAACAACACTGAAAACACAACAGAACATATGAAATATGAACAAATATGAACTGAAATAATATGTGATGTATGTGTGGCTTTGAGAGAAAGTCCAGTTGATTAAGCGATTTTATGAAAAATTAAAGACAGAAAAATGTATTTCTTTATGAGGATTTTATGGCAGATTGGGTGTGTATTATTCCTTATTTCTTATATCTTAAAATATTGTATTGTTACATAGTCTAGTTTTTTTGTTAATGTTACTGTACTGGAGCAACTGTAACCCACATAATTTCCCTAGGAATTAATAAAGTATGCTGATTATGATTATACATGTGCACTACACAAAAAATAATAATCCATTCAAATCAGACTTGTTGCTGATGTTTGACATGTCCGTAATTCTATTCATTATACGGAAAATAATTCATCTTGTGTGTGTGTGTGGGAAGGACTTGGGCTTCAAAC